TATATACTATAACTATTTAACTAGAGTAGGTATCTCTTCTAACGTGTTATATGCTATAGAACTTTTTCTAAAACTTAGTCTTCTAAGTACTATTAAGTTACTATACCTTTATAGAAAATTTTAGTTAGAGACTACAAAGCGAGATAAATTATAAGGTTAGAATAATTAGTAGCTTATTAATCTCTATAGTTTAGGTAAGAGCTCTATCTTTGTATCTAAAGTTAGCTACTAAACGGCACACGGACCTACCTACAAATACGCTGGTTCAGATTTGTTAATTCTACAGGCGACATGCGTCTCTGTGTAATGGGGAGAAGTTCCTTCACATTTAATTTTACGAACGCGAGATACTATTTTCCTCTCCTTCGCCCTGCCAAGATGATGACACGCTGCACTCCCCTGATTCAGTCCGCCGAATCGAAGGCGGCGGTGAGCCCCAGACCCCGTCGCACGCAAAGCCGCACAACCCACAATGACCAAACTTGAACTCGAGCAACTGCACTGGGACGTTCGGCAACGCGCGGATCATCAGGAAAGAAGCGTGTTAATGGCGGGTGTTGTTACACTGGAGCCCACGGTGCTCGGAGGGCAGTATGTCCCATACGGACTTTCAACAGCGACAGCGCAGTGGTCGAAAATATCCACTTCGTTCTCGCGTCTAAGCAGTCTCAAGATCTGTTGATCCTAAAGCAGGAACGTAGTCACCCTAAGACGATGCAATGCGAGGCTGGCAGATACAGGCTTCCATGACTCATGTTGACAAGAAGTAGAATGGGTGACTACATAACTGCTGTGTTGAACAGAGACGCTCTCATAAAATTAGCCAGAGGTCCTCCATGCCACATGGATACGTGGTCTCTAAGCTCTTTTACATTTCACCACGCCCTTCGAAAGATCTCCGATACAATACTTAGCGTCGCCTGAGAGCTAAGCAGTGAGCTTCACTGCTCTCTTCTTCTTCGGCGATCCATTCCCGGCGTCGCATGAGTTCCTGTTCGTGTGGCCAGGATTGCAATACCAATGCCAGTTGTCATCCTCATAATTGATCGTTCCGTAATCGTCCCAGAATCCGCCAAGCTGGTTGGTATGTTGGTACGGAAGCTGATCGCAGTGACCACCAGCAATGATTGCAGTGCCACCTACGGTGTTGCTGGCTTTGGAGAGGGCTTCTGCTTCAGTATTGCCCTTACCGACTTGGCAATACGGGGAACTAAATATCGCAGTGCCGACAGCTGAGCCGTAATCCATGTTTACGGCAGCTAGCCAGAGGGCTTGGGTACCAGTCGTGGCGTAGATGGCTAGGAGGAGTGATTTGACCATGTTGGGTATGCTAGGATAGGTATCAGTACATATTGATCCCAGGCTGTCCTTTTGACTCACTTGAACAAGGCACTCGGATATGCGACAGCGATGGAGGGTAGTGGAACAACCGTATCGAATGTTGAGGACTTTGATAAGCTTGGGGACAGAGACTTAGTGGGCTTATATATGCTTTTGCATCGCCTTCTAACAGTTGTCTTACAGATATACGAGATCCCGGCAAAGGACCGATTGCATCCTGCTTCTTACGCCTCGCGTCTGATGATGCTCCATCGTAATGTTTGGTCCGATCAACTGCTCAAGCACCAGAGCAGCTCTTGTTCTCTGCCACATCAATGGGCGTCAAGCGGTCCGGTGTCACTGCCTGCATACGTTGCCTGTACACAGCCTCGTGCTGAGTTCGTTGACCGCCACTATTATACTATGACATCGCACTGTTATACCATGGCCCAAAGCGTGCAACTTAGACATGACGCGTCAGTCATGAGCCTAAGTACGTCCGTGCAGCTGTCATGGACTGGCCTGTCAGATATTAGAGCAGCTTATCCGACTGTATCCCTAAAATAGGCTGGTATGATAACATTGCCTCTTGCACGACCATGACTGCCCCGGTTTTGCGGACGCTGATGTCGCAGCGGTCTTTCATCATCATGTCATTATGTGAACAAGTGGAAGCACGTAGCTTTCTTAATTCCATTGCAATTCGACCTTCTCACTTCGATTGAATTCATGAAAGTGCCATAGACGACAGCCGCTAAAGAGATGAAGAGTTTTATCTGTCACCGCCCTCGTATTTTCAATATTCACTATACACTGATACTTGCTTGAAAGGGCAGCACACTGTGTCGGTCCGGCGTACTCATATCTAGTTCATAGATCTAATGAACCCTAAGGGTTACCGCTTTTCATGTCACACCGATCATCTGCGCTAGATCCAAGAGGCGAGTTTGGTTTTGATCACCTCAGACTTTCAGGCAGATAATGCGTTCGTGTGTATTCGCATGTTTCTACCAAGAAACATTAGAGGCTTCTGATGCTAAGCTTTTCGGTGTCCTTCGCAGATATTCATGAGCTCAGCGACATCTCCATAGCATGCAGCCGTCTTTCTTCGCACGTAGATTGTGGCTGTAGTAGCAAGCTCCTCATGTTTCATCAGGAATGAAGTCACCCAATCGAAGTTGCTCGTATTCTCGAACTCGGGTCTTGTTGATCACGATCTCGGAGCGTCCGACTACTAACGTCCGGTTCGGCCCGATTTGGACAAGTGAAGGTTTGATCTACTGCAAGAAGCCGCGTGAGGCACGCTTCAACCCACAATTTTGCAGCCATGCCTCGGCACATGTGTATACGTAATGTGTTGGCAAGAAAATTATGGAAGATCGTTTATTCCTTGTGGTGATCTAACAGAAGGTTGAACCATGTACGGCATGCACTTCTAGCGCATGAATTCGGTGTCGGGGCTTCAAATAGCCCCGGCTAGGCCCAGGAAGGAAAACAGATGCGTCTCGATTGTTTGATCGTCATTGCCGCTGTATGTTTGGATGCCACTGTAGGCAAATACACAGGACGCCTAGTCTAACATCCGTTCTATCGATTTCCCGCTAGCACGGACTCTTCATTCCGTTATGAATCGAGTTAGGCTGCAGTTGCAGGACTACTATGCAGTGACCTCCGATGTTCAAGCTTCAGCTTAAGCCTCGTGTAGCTTAGTGCACCTCATATGCTCAGTTAGTGCCTACATCGATCGAGCACCAGGAGAAGGTACAGAGTATCGAGGTCACTGCGGGAATAGTCACGTCGACGTCTGCGTTGTATAAAGACAGGCTGGAGCGCTGCAGACAGAATCATCAACATTCACAAGCTTCAACAAACAGTTCCAAGCGAATCCAACATGCCATCACCTGCTTATCCCATCGCTCTTGCGGCTCTCATTGGGTCCGCGCTCGCAGACATCCACAATGTCAATCTTCCCTCGAACTTCTTCGATGGTCCACAGAGCGGTATTGGATCATGGTACCGTGCCTCTGCCGGCCAAGACTCGACAAACGGCAAGAGTTGGTGTGCGTACACGTACTATAACAGCGATCCTGTCTTTGCTGTGGTAGGTAACAACCCTTTTCAAGATCTCTGGAATTGTCACTAACGAGAACGATGCTCAGTCCCTAAAAGCGATGGGCGGCAAGACCTACAATTCGGACCCAGCGGGTTGGAAGGCAGCAACGCAAAAGTACTGTGGTCTCGAGGCGACTGTTAAGGATCCCAAAACTGGCAAGCAAATGCTTATGTACATTGGCGACGCATTTGATGATAAATATGTCCTTGTAAGTAATCTCCTCGAGTACTATTTCGCAAGATCACTTAGTAACACGGTTCATCAGTCGCCGGGGTCTATCGACATCATGATCGACGCCTTCTCGAACATCCACGGGAACCCCAACGGTAACAAGAACGACGTCATCAAGGGTGTGGAGTGGCAGCTTACAGGACGCGTCAACACGAAGTATGCTGCGGATGGCGCCGTATGGCCAACAAAAGCTGGAGCAGCACCAACGACTCCTGCTCCTACAAAGATGCAGACTTCTGCTTCACCAAAACCGTCTGCCTCTCCACCTGGTGGTGGCGAAGGTGCGAAGTGCAGTGACTCGACGAACTGTAATTCTGGCATGACATGCTTAGCACCTGATGGTGTCTGCAGCACAGCCGCTTGTAATTGGGGGTTAGATCCTCCTTCCTTTGGCTTTTGAGACTTACTAACCAAAATTTTCAGATGTACCGGATGGACCTGTAGTGCTTCGTCGCCGTGCCAGAAACCAAACACGTGTGTAAACGGCGCCTGCGCAGCTCCGACCACCGGCGCCGTAGGTGCGAAATGCAGTAATACGACAGATTGCAACTCTGGCTTGACATGTTTGAGCCCCGATGGCGTTTGCAGCAGCGCGCAGTGCAACTGGGGGTGAGCGATCTTTACGTGTGCGACGAGTCGTGGAAAACTAACTTGGATCTACAGATGCACTGGATGGACCTGTGATGCCTCGACGCCATGTCAGAAGCCGAACACTTGCGTAAGCGGCAGCTGCGCCGCAGCTTGAACGATGCTCATAACGTGATCTGGCCCACCTGGACGAACTTCGTACGATCAGGGCTGCTATATGGAGGTACCCTGCATGAATGGACATGGTCCTTTTGGAATATTGCAGAGATGGGAAGACATGGTAGAGTTGAAATAGTGGTACGTCTGGCCATTGTTTGCGGGTTGCTATTCCATTGAGAGATGCATTGAGGACATACGAATACTTAGATACATATGGAATACTACTGCCATATCTCGTTCACGACAACATGCATAGACACTCACCGCATCTTAAGCATCACGATATAAATACACATCAAATTTACCTTGAAAGGGTCTCGACTTTAGAATGTCCGAATGGGGAAGGTCGGAGATGCAGGTCCGTCTACACGACCAATTAGGTGTAGCGAGCTTCAGGAACCGAGGACGGGGAGACCCACTCACGGCCCGTTCACGAAAGGATTTTTGTAAGGCGTACCGTTTATCTGGGGCATGCTCGTATAGCTCCCTGGTGCCTAGAGGTGTTTTTCCGTGCAGCTGTAGAAATAAGACAGTTCGCCCCGTGCGCATTTTAACACACCTCAGTCACAACAACCTAAATCAATTGACTATGCGTTTCTCCTTCCTCGCGCTTGCGCTCGCCGGCTCGGCCGCCGTGACAGTCGCAGAGAGCGAATACGACCGCCCCGATCTTGCGGACACATACTGGGACGTGAGCATTTCTACACAGTCCGGTCGCCCAGGCTACAGCATCCGCGACTTCAACGCTACTTTCCATTCATCAATCACCAATGTCATTGAGGGAAAGTGTCACTACAGCTTCGTGCCACAAGGAACCAGTGCGCCTGCCGAGACGGATGTGTGTAGCACGGGATTGAAGTATGAATGGGACTGTAAGTCATCTTGATTATTCTATCTGCCGGACATCCACGTCTGCGAAGCTCAGTGCAAGAGGCTAATTTTGGTGCGATAGACACGAACGTTACGTTCCTGGAGCAAACGCTCGTTATGGGTAACGACAATTTTTGGATTTACGGACTGTCAAACAAGATAGAGACAACTCGCAGGAGCGATGGCATGAGCAGCACGACCAAGGGTAATGGCAAGGTGGATATCAGCCATTATTGTATCAAACCCGGATCGGGGACCTACAGTGGATGTGGATACGCTAACGGCTGCGTATCCACGAAATGCAACAACGAGAAGACAGGTGCTGCTTAGGCACAGGCTAAACGACCTAAGTTAGCAAAGAAAGTATTGTTTCTGTAGAAGTAGTTTTTCGTTGTAGAGCATAAAAGATTTAATATAGACTAACCTCTAAGCGACTACATAGAATTCTACTACGTTTTAAAATTAGCGTAGGTTCTATACCTCTATTCTTACCTCTCTTTTCTCTTCTTGCTATAACACTCTCTACTCTATTTTTGCCTCTTCTACCTTCTCTACTATCTTTCTACTACCTTACTACGTGCTATAAAGCTCTCTACGCTCTCTTCTATAATATTAATACCTATTATCTATCTCTAAGTTTATTAAGTTTATAACTTTTACTATTAAATTCTATTAAATATAGTCTATATATCTATAAATTTTAGTACTAGCCTTATAGCTTAAGCTAACTCTAGAAGCTTACTTAATAGCTTAAGCTAACTCTAACTAATATAAGATAATAGGCTATATATAATCTATACTTAATTAGATATTATATTAGAGTTTACTAACTAAAAAGAAAAATCTAGAAAGTATAATCTTATAATAGAGTTAGCTAGTAGAGAAAATAGATATACGTAATTAGTATTAGGTTCTAGCTCTAAAGAGTCTAGGCTAACTTAGCACTAGCTATAAATACCTTAGAATTACTATTATAGCTTAGTAGTAATTTATTTTTAGTCTTTTTAGAATAATATACTTAATTATAGTCTAATATTATATATCTAGTATTTAACTAACTTTATTATTTAATATTTAAATTACTTTACTTTATAATACTTTTATATATACTATTTAGATATAATAAGCTTTAAAGTAGATCTCTTTAGTATAATATAATATAGTAGTAAGTAAGCTATACTATTATTACGCGTAATAGATAATAACTAAAAAAAATTAGCTTTTATATCTCTAAAAGTAGTAATACTACTTACTAAGAAACTTATAAACTTATTAGAAGCCTTTTTAAATATTACTAACTTAGTCTTAATTATTAAAAATAGTAATATACTATTAAAGTCTATTTTAGAGCTAACTAAGCTTTTATAAACTACTACTATTAAAAGTTAAAATAAATAAGTTACTTTAACTTATAAACTTAAGAAGTTATATAAGTAAAAATAATTAGAGCGTACTTATTAAAATATAGTTTATTTTAAAAACTTAAAGTATAAAGTACTTATAAGTAACTACTTAGCTTTTAAAAAAAATATTACTTACTATACTTTAGCTTTAGAAGATAAGTTTTAGTTAAACTTAAAAGCTTTATACTTTAAAAATCTAAAAATATTTACTATATATAACTACTTATAGTATAACTACTAAGTATATAATTATAAAACTATTTTTAAAGAAGTACTTTCTACTTTTTTAATAAGTATCTAAAAGATAGACTTTACTATAAGATTTCTTAATAAAACTACTTACTTTACTTAAAATATCTACTTCTAAAACTATATAAAGCTTAAAGCGTCTTAAATACTTACTTAAAAAGAACTTAAAGTAGTTATACTTAATATACTTAGTTCTAAGTTATTATAGTACTTTATAGTTTATAATAAACTTAAGTAAACTAAATAGAAGCTAAATTAAAATTCTAACTTTCTTTTAGCTTATCTTAATATACTTTAAAGTAAACTAAGTAACTACTTAAAAAAGTAGCGCTATATAAACTTTATAAGTACTTTTTTTTTTAATATTTAAAAAGAACTTTTACTTTAAAACTAAGAAGACTATAATATAGTTTTTAAGCTTAATATCTTAGCTTACTACTATTAAAGTAAAATAAAGTATACTACTATACTTTTTAAGTATCTAGCTTATAAGAAAAAGTCTTATAGCTATTAAACTTAGAATTTTTTTTTAGAGCCTTCTTAGACCTAGAAAAAAGCTAAGAAAGTAAATTTTATAAAATCTAACTTATAACTAGCTAAATTAGACTAAAATAGTCTAAAAGACTTTAGTATAACTTATTAGAAGTATAATAAAACTAAATACTTTTAAAAAAACTATCTAAAGTCTAAGAAAGACTTTAAAAGCTTATTTAGCTAGAAATTAAAAAAAAATAGTAAATAAAAAAGCTAGAGTTTTTCTTAGCTACCTATATTACTCTAGACCTAGTATTTTAGAACTTAGAACTTTTTTATAATATACTTTACTTAAAGCTAGTAAAGCTACTAATAGTAAAAGTATTACTTAGCTAATTAGAGCTTATAGAAGCTCTAGTAGATAAAAGTTTCTAGTTAAATTTTATTTTAGTATTACTTACTATAAAGTAAAGCTTACTAGTTTACTCTTTACTTAAGCTATTAGTAAATAGAGTAAATAGTAAAGAATTAAAGATTTATAGTACTACTATAGTAACTATAAAAGTAGTAGATTTTTATAAAAAATAAAAGATTTAGAATATTTTATATATTATTATAGAAGTTTATAAGTATTAGTTATACTTAAGTTTACTCTAAATAAATATATATTATTTAAAGATTAGCTACTTTATATAGAAGCTACTTTTTTAAAGTACTAAGTTTAAGAATAGAACTATTTATAAAAAGATTATACTAAAAAAAGCTAAAAAGTTTAAGAAAACTATATATAATTCTATAGTAGATATATATAGCTATCTTATTATCTTAATACTTTAGTCTAGCTTAGAAAAGGCTAAAGAGAGTAGTTTACTTTTATAATATACTAAGTTTATATACCTTAAGTTAGAAAATAACTTAAGAGTTCTTACTAACTATAGTTTATAAAACTTAGCTATTAACTTACTACTTAAAACTATAGCGCTTTATTAGCTATTATATAACTTTTTTAAGATAAAGTTAAAGCTTTTATATAAGTATTTAAATAAGTACTTAGTATAAAAGTAAATTAAGTATAGTAAGTCTTTAGTAAGAGCGCTTATACTTTTTACTAAAAAGAAAAATAGTAGTATATATTTATATATTAACTATAGAGGCTTTAATAAAGTTACTATTAAAAATTAATATCTTTTACTACTTATTATAGAGTTTTTAGAAAGATTAGCTAGCGCTAAATTTTATACTAAACTTAATATAAAAGAAGCTTACTATAAAGTATATATTAAGAAGAGTAATAAGTAAAAAACTACTTTTTATATAAGATATAGTAGTTTTAAGTATACTATAATATTTTTTAGCTTTATAAATACTTCTATATAGTTCTAGACCTATATTTATTAAGTTTTTATAAAATTAATTAATATAATCTATATTATATACTTAGATAATATTTTTATTTTCTTTAATACTAAAAAGAAGTATAAGAGCTATATTAAGAAAGTCTTATATAAATTATATAATATAAAGCTATTTTTAAAGCTTCTAAAGTATAAGTAGTATATCTAGCGCACTAAGTACCTTAAGTATATAGTTTTCTCTAAGAGAATATAAATTAATAAGAATAGAATTAAGATAATCTAAGAATAGCCTAAACTATGTATAGTACGTAAGATTTAAGTATTTATTAGCTTTATAAACTACTATAAGTAGTTTATTACTAAATTCTTTTAACTTACTCTACTATTAACTAAACTAACTTAGAAGAGACTAAAAGTAGCTAAAAGTAGCTATACTTAGTAGAGAAAGAAGAGTTAAGCTTTTAACTTTAATAAAAAAGCTAAAAAAGCTTTTTAAAAGCTAAAAAACTCTTTTCTAAGTATTTCTATTTTAACTTACTTTAAGTAAAATAGAAAGACTAAAGCTAAAGTAAATACTTTAGATAGTATAATTATAAGTATATTAAGCTAATATATACTAAATAAAGCTAAAGAGTACTAATAGTGTCTAGTTAACTTCTTTTTATATAAGCTAATTATAGTAGAGTATAATTATAATATATATAACTAAAAGCTACTTATAATAGTTAAGAGCCTAGAGTATTAGTACTAATACCTAGAGAGTATATACTTTAACTTCTAAACTAACTATTAGAATTTAAAATAGTTTATAAAAACTAAGACTCTTAACTATTAATAAGTTAGAACTTTTATTATACTATTTAAATTTAATTTTAATATCTACTATAAAGTAGAGTCTACTAACTTTATAAATAAGCTTTTTTACTACTTTAACTATATAGTAAAAGTTTAGAAATTTATTTAAAAGTATAATAAAGCTTTTATCTAGCTTATAAGAAATCTTATAACTAATAGTAATAGAATCTTTTTTTTAGTAGCTATAGTATAAATATACTTTACTAAGTATACTAAAAAATAATAAAACCTTACTAAGAGACTAGAGAGTTTTAACTAGGCTAGTAAATATACTATACTAAAGCTCTAGACTCTAAAGAAGTATAATAAAATAGATTATACCTTCTTAGATACTTCTAATAAGTCTAAGTCTAAAAATAACTAGTTTAGTCTAGATAAAGCTAAAACGCGCTATTATATAGTAAGAATACTAGTAACTACTAAAAAGAAGTTATAAGCTCTCTAAGAATATTATAATAACTTTTTAGTAAGCTACTTTAGAGTAAAATATACTCTAAAAAAGCTATAAAAGTACTACTTTTAGAAGAGTATATATAAAAATATAAAGTAATACTATAAGAATTATCTTATATATAGAAAGTCTACTTTTAT